AGTGAGAGTTCCGATTAACTTTTACATGCACGACATAAATACTCTTTCCAATCTTAGTATTTTTTTACTGCTAAGTGTTTATGTATAAGAGAAGAAGAGAAGAGAAAATAGCAAAATACTTAAGTTTCACATATGCGTTGTAAAGTTAAAAGCCTTTCTCGGGGTAAATACGCGCTTCCTCCTTTAACTTTTCTGCCTGCAGGAATAGTTTAGATTTTGCCTTCAGCTTTTCTCAGAAGTTTAGGGAGCAAGTCCTATTGCCACTTCAACCTTTTCAGCGGCAGCTATTTCACTGCTGCCACCACACCATTTTCATTGTTATGCAGCACAAGAAACCAAACAGTAATGACTACAAACACTTTCTGGCCGGTACAGGCATAAAGGGGAAAAGCAACAGCCCGCCCCCCCCCCCCCCCCCCCCCCCCCCCGCCTGAACGAGGCAGTAGGTGCTAGAGCCTTACCATGGGCTTCTGTTGTGACGGGCCTGGCATTGCTACGCCACTACTTGTATTAACAGCTTTCTTGGTCAACTGTATGTACACGTTCCCGTGGTCTTTTGAAACGAGGCAGTGGTAGAGATCATCATACTTGACTTCCAGGAAGATGGCCTCGCGGTCAGTGTAATCACCGCTCTTCAGGAAATAAACAGCTTTCGATGAAATGAGAACACAATAGCTGTCTATGTTCTCCACTGCTATGAAGCTGCAAAGAAGAAAAAAAAAAAAATTACTCACTTGAAGCTAAAAATAGTAAACTAACGAATGTTTTCACCTGTTCCGAGTGACCTTTAGAAGTCTTTCAGAAAAATTAATAGCGTAACATGTACAGTTCATCTGCGTTTAATTTAAACCACTCTAAAACCCACGCTGATGAAGTACCCTCTCACCCAGTTAAAAAAGATCATGCTGTAAATCAAGTATTAGTGCTAAAGGCCGGGCTTCTAGCTTTGGACATTAAAAGGTCACATATAAATATCCTTTAACAAAGCTTAAGAGTAATTTCCTTGCATGGGAACACTGCAAGTCCCAATACTGAGGTTGAATTGTAACTGACTTTAGCTCCACTGCTGATTGGGAAAGCTCTGCAGACGTTTATGACAAGATCATTAGCCTTCTACACACTGCAAACCTATCAGGCTTCCTTTAAAAAGAAAAAAAAAAGAAGAAGTTTAACCTGCTGCCTGGATCAGTAGCTAGAAAAGAGAAATTAGCTGTTTAACACTGGGGTGAAAGGTTAAGCAGCAAGCAGGTTTCCCCAGAGAGATTAGTCTGAGTGATGAATAGTAGAGGTAGGAACAGTGAATTAAGAATATTGAGAATTACGATGGCTGAAAAGGTTGATGTGTAAAAAAATAACAGTAAGGAATGCAAAAGAGATACTTCACATGCACAAGCTTCTCCCACAGTTCTGATTTCCTACTGAAATGAGCCTCATTAGTGTTTTTTTTTTAAATGCTGAAAAATTCAAAGTTAAATATGAAATAGTAACTAAGAAAGGGTGCTAAATAGAATAATAATGCTCTGTCAAACAACGTATCTGTAAAATTAAGATTCTCATGCTGTCAAGTAAGGTCAAAATTACTGTTTTCTGAACCATTGCTTATACAAATGTGCCTGCTGTTGTCCTCATACATTCTGCAAAATACTCGACCGTCTTTGAAATCAATGAAGACTGGTGGTACCAAGAGTTTTTGGTAGATCAGAAAAGCTTACCATCCCCAAAACTGCTGTCGGCTCTATCATTGAAATAACACTTTGCACAAATCAGTCTGAGCTGTATCCAAATAAACCCCTAGCTATAAATGGCATTTTAAGAGCCAGAAATATTTCCAGAGGTCAGCTCATGGTTACCTTTTGTGGTATAAAAGAATTATTCCAGTAATTTTCTATTAATAGTCCTCTGAAAGATTGCATTCTACACTGAACTTGTCTTTTCTCTGCCCGATGCCTCCTACTCATGTCAGCGGACAAACACTCTTGCTTCCATAAACTCAAGAAAGGCGTGCGTGCCTATTCAAATTACCAACTTCCATTTTCATTTCAGTGCTGAGGGGAACACAGCCGGTCTAATGAAAACAAGGCCTGTAATGAGCTTTGCCCAGCTCTAACCTTGGATAAAACTATGGGATGGGATAATTGAATTGTGTTCCTTTAAGTAAAACTCAACAGACAAAAATGTGTATTTCAACTTAAAAACCCCCTCCTATTTGAAATCTGAGGTTCCTATTTATGTTAACACTGTTACTGAAACTAGCACTGGCCCCTCGGTCTTCTGTCAGAGTTCAAACACTTTGGGGTAAGGTTCTGTCTTTGAAATAAGTTAAGTAGGATGGAGAGTGGTATTTTTTATGAAGGGTCATAGAAAACTTGATTTTAAAATAAAGCAGCATTACAGCCTGCAGAGTAAAAGTCTTGTTCCTTGGGACAGAGATATAAAAGCAAGTGCAGTACTTTACAGCGATCCTAGCTCTGGCTCGGGTCAGACTTCCACTAGAAGTGGAACCAGAGGAGACTTGCCGGCACATCGGCTTCCTTTGCTGCTTTTCCAGCAGGGGAGAAACATGCCAAGGTGATGATCAGAAACCCCTAATCCTGTCTCGCTGTCCTTGGCAATTGTCACAGCAAAGGTGAGAAACTTGGGAAGGTTTTGTGCACCCAGACCAGCAGAAGGGCTGTTGTCCTGATGCACAGCCGTGAGGCCTGGCCCGCTGGACGCTAGGATGCAGTTCAGTGGAAGCAGTGGGGTACCTGGGCTACAGGTTTGTGTTTCCTCCATTAGAGCAACAGATTATATAGCTGATTCTCCATACATGATTTTTACTGGTGTCACGTATGTATTTTGAGAAATGGAAACAGAGGACAGTGATTTAATGGTGAAGCAGAGAAATATTAGCTAATTTGTCGTTCAGGCTCTACGTTTTGTTCTCAGTTTGAGTCATACATCATTACCCATTTTTTCTTGCCAACTGTTACTTTCTTCGCTGTGTCTGGTTCTCAAAATGGGTATTTAACCTTTTAAGATACTACTACTTCAAGATACTACTATTTTTTTTTTAACCCATATTTTTACACTATTAAAAATATCTCAAATTAATAAAATGAAAAATTAAATGAAACATGATCCAGTAGAACAAAGTAGAAGCAAGCAGATCTCTGGAGAATTTGTGGGTTTTTTAACAACATCAGGAAGTAATTACACAATATTTTCCAGAAGTGAAACAGTGAGCCTAACTGGAAAAAAATGTGGAAACATTTAGTTAGAACAGTAGAGCAAGGTATTAAACCCCCTTTTATGGATTTAACTGTGAAGGAAAATATGCAAATAATCAGGTCTTTAAATGTGTTTCTGATTATGATACTAGGATAAAAGTCAGAGGCATAATTTTGTACTTATTTTTCATTACAAGAAACACTGTTTTCTTGTTGAATGATGTTCCTAATGGTGGAAGTCACAGTGAATGAACACTGCGACTTGATGACAAAACCCCACTGATCTGCTTATCGGGTACACTTGCAAAAAGCCGACAACTCTGGTCACAAATTGCGCTTTGTCGGTTCTCCCTGCCTAGGAGCCAGACTGCACCCGCCTAAAGACCCTTAAATGAGATTCAAACAGGACCACGAGAGTGTGAGGTCACGGGGCCGCGAGCAAGGGGCAGGTTAAACTCTTCCTCGCAGGCAGCTGCAGGTCGATTCTAGCGTGGCACAGGGCTGTCGGAGCCTGGCCGGCGGCACCGGTGAAATCAAGGCATCCTGCTGAATCGGCTCCTCCCTCTGCACGCTTCACCATCGGCCACTGAACTGCTTGGCCTGGGCAGATGCTCTGATGGACACCAGATGCAAAACACGGCATCTTACACCTCCAGTGCAAACAGCTGTTCAGGTAACTGTGGCGGAGACTGGGTTAAGTAGTAATGAATTATGCCTTAAGACCCCAATTCAACAAACTGACACCTTCTGTAGAGCCACAGAATCGTTTAGGTCGGAAGAGACCTTTAAGATCATCATGAAGTCCAACCACTAACGCAGCACTGCCGAGCCCGCCACTAAACCACGTCCCTACGCACTGTGTCTACACATCTTTCAAGCACCTCCAGGGATGGTGACTCAGCCCCTTCCCTGGGCAGCCCGTTCCAGTGCTTGACAAACCTTTTGAAGAGATTTTTCCTAATAGCCAATCTAAACCTCTCCTGACACAACCTGAGGCCGTTTCCTCTCATCCTATCGCTTGTTACTTGGGAGAAGAGACCAACTCCCACCTTGCTACAACCTCCTTTCAGGCAGTTGTAGAGAGCAGTAAGGTCTTTCCCGAGTTGTACTCCAGACCCCTCACCAGCCTCGCTGCCCTTCTCTGGACACGCTCCAGCACCTCACTCTCCTCGTAGCGAGGAGCTGAACACAGGATTAAAGGTGCAGCCTCCCCAGTGCCGAGTGCAGGGGCAGAACAGAGGTACCGGTGTCTTTCTGTGCATTCACTCCGTATGGGGGGCTTTTCCATACTCACAAACCTGACCACTAATAACATTTATACTCTGTTTTCACTTGCTTTTATGAACCCGTACCCAGGGCTTCAATGTAGATGTATTAACCATTCAAATTATCCAGCACTGGCTTTTCTAGAGAAAGAAAATAATGAATTTTGCAGGTTATTTTGGTCATTAACTGTTAACAGCTGTAGCTTAGGAATAACATGTACCACAGGCGTCCATGTTAGCTTCTCTCGCATCTAAACCGGAGCCACCTCAGAGTGCAGCCCGTGCAGGTCAGGGGTGGTTCAGGTATTGCTGTCGCAGAATCCCTGAGCTTTGGGCTGTGAGAAATCAGAGATAAGGGAGGAGACAGTGGTTGTGCCTGGATGAATGCCACAGAGGAAGAAGAGTACAGGCTTAAAACATGCACTTACCAGCCCATGTGGAGGGTTGGATGTGTATTATGCATGTTCAATGGACTAATAGTTCATAGAAGCTTAATGAGAGTTCATCTTTTGTTCTGACAGAAGGGGACCAGGAATCAGCAAACCAAGGCTCCGATTCTTCCACAGCCCATACGTGATGTGCTGTCCCCAGCACCGGGCCGGGCGTGAAGCAGGGGGGCCCTGTGGCACCCACCCGCAGGGCTGTTGGCAAACAGCCGCTGGACAGGCCCCGGGAAGGCACCAGCTGCTCACGCTGTGCGGCACCGGCACCGAGAGACACCGAACGGAACGGAGGCGCAGGGGCGTGTGCGTGTGTGAAGCAGGTTTAGTCCCTCTTCCCCAAAGACGTGAAGATGCGACGACAGCACAGAGAACGGCCTCAGGTAACTGCGCAGGTCGGTACTTACAACTCATCCTGGATGTTGTCGGTCAGTTTGAACAGCTGCTCTTGTCCCTCTGCTTGACTTTCTAAGTAGCGAGGCAGGAGCCCCTGAGGTCCTCTACAGCAGCGCGGCTTCCTCACTCTCTCTGCTTGTGTCCTACGTGCAAAATAGATACAGGAAAATGACTCAGTGCAACAGCAGCACTTCTCCTTCCACTTACACCTGTCAGCACACAAAGTTTTATTTATTTTGAAATAGCAGGTGTGACAAAGCCTTTAAAAAGACAAGGTCTTCACAAATACAGCATGTAGATTCTATAATGTAATGCGTGCAGATCTGGAAGACATGGTGTCAGTTCATATGGTTTTACACTTCTGACAAATGACTTCCAGTTTTCTTCTTCCTGTTCATCTAGCACACTGTCCCTTAATTGTAGCAGCAACCTGAACTGAGCATACTGACTGCACATTTTGGAATCTATGTATCAACAGAGTTTTACCAATTTGACTGTTTCTTCTCACTTCCCTACAGAAAATGGGAGTGCATCGACCTAGATAGAGCTCACATTGATGGACGGTGCCAGTAGTTTGAAAACTGAAGGGTTTCAGAAATAGGAACATGCAGTTAAGGCAAGACAAAAGAAAAATCCACTGTTAATCAGAGTCTCTGTGGTAGGGTTTAGCATACTTTACCTTTCTTGAGCGCCTATTAAGAAATTACAATAATAAAAAAAGGCGCATGTGTGGCCTAGCACATCAGAGGTTGATACTGGCCACAGTGCTAAAGAACTGCAGGCTAGGTTCCTCCCTTAGCAGTATTTTGTTAAAAAATAATCTTCTGAATTCCTTTAAGCTTTTGGAACGCCCTACCCCTGAAGAATTGTGTTACAGGCTGCCGAGCCCTGCTTTATTCTCTGTCCTTCCCCAGCAGCATCACTCAGGCCTGCTGCATGCTTTTTCATACCTCTTTCAGGCTACTGCTGTTACTAATTTTCCAAGCCAAATGCACCATTGTTGGTTAGTGCTCTCTATTTCCCATCTCGATTCTTTGTAAAGGTCCTGTACAATGAACTGCTTCGCTCCTTTTTGATCAAAAGACAGGAAAAAAAATCCCCTGTAACAACGCATTTTCTTTCTAAGCTGTTTGGCAATAGCACACAAGAGTACTCGCCTTCTGAGCTTTGTTTTCTGCAGATGTTTTCTCTGGAGCCTTGTTTCTTTGTTACCTTGCCCTTTCAGCAGTCCCATCCCAGACTTGAAGCCCATGCACCCTTTTAAAATTTGTTTCCCTTCGAGTCTTTGACACCCTTGCCTTTTAATGGTGACTTTTTTTTTTTTTTTTTGCCTTCCCTTCTTGGCTGCAGTAAATGTTACTGGAACAGAATCTCTTCCATGTCATTCATGCCTCAGTACCATCTTTGTGGCTCCCCCGTCGGGTAACGGGCCTCACAGCGCGCTTTGGCTGGCCTTGCTCTGTCCACTATCAACAACCTGCTTTGCAAACAAGGTATAGAAGCCAAAGATCCTGGCATTCCAGCACAGCAGAGAAAAACATCAGCCAATTTATATTTTTAATACATTATAACTATCTGGTAAATTCTGATTTTGCTAATGAGATTATTACATCCCTGACCCATGTAACAAATTCCAGTGACTCAGAAAGTGCTCATCACTGATCCTCTTTGAGAGAAACTTCAGGAGAGACAGAAAACTCTTGACTTGACTTCAGCTGAACTATGGTTATGCTAAGATGAAAAGTCAGTTTGTCAGCAGGGAGGATGAAATGAGAAGTGGAAATTCTCCAACGAGAAGAATGCGAAACAGAGCAAGGGCTTAAGAAACCGTAACAAATGTTGTCATTAAGAGCACCAGTAAAATGTTACCAGTCGAATTTTCAGTTTTACCTCTGCTGACAGATGTTCTTACTGTGTTACCTGTCCTGCTGTGCTGATTTTGCTTCTGGTTAGACGTTCATTAGTTAAATACAGTGTTATGCAGCCAAGCTAGAAAATGTCAGTAAGAAAACTGCCATTTGCAAAATGTGCAATGTCTTAAGAATTATTTCTTCCATTAGGAGCATTTCTCTGAAGCAGAATAACCTAAACACTAGGTAAACAGATGACTTCCACAACCTGTGTGTGACTTAAAATGATTCCACTGAGTAACAGCTGTACACAGTGTTAGAACTTCACTGGTAAGTACTGTGACTCTGGAGCAAGTCACCTCTCCTGCACCTTACATTTTGTAGATATAAATAGGACTCACTCTACCAGGTACAGTTACACGACAGTACTGTTACCTTTCTGAACCTACACCAGAGGTGAACAAGTGCCTGTTTTACCTATTAGATTCTTACAAAATAGTAAACAAAAGTATATGTTTGCTTTCACGAAACGCAAAATGTTGAAGCAAAGTTCCAGAGAAACTAGAGAGTTCCAACCTGTGTAATTCACATCTTGCTGCTTGGTCCTACTTCCCAACTTCCAACTTCTTACCTTCCAAAAGCAGTAAATTGGCAAAAATTCACTTATCCAAGAAGCCCCCATTGGCTGTTAAACCTCTCTACAGCACCTGTAGCATCTATTGACAAGTTTAAAGAGTGGATGTCTGGAGAGTAACAATGTAGTTTTTATGTAACTATTGGCCAATCAGTAACTCTTTACTTAGACATTTGCCTATTATGCAGTCAGGAGAGTTAGATAACCATCCATATGGGAGTGAGCAACACCACCACAGGACGCCTTTTACATTAACCATCTTTCAGATAAACGTTCAACTCTGTTCTTTTCTCCAATATTCTGTAGCACCGTGAGAAGAGGTATCTAAAGCACTGCAAGCAAAGCTACTGCAAAAATGAGGAATGACCAGGGCCTTTTAATCAGACCTGTTCCGTAGGAATCAGAACATCAGTGAACACTGGTTTCTAATGTCTGGCTTAGAAGCAGGTTGGAGAGAAAACACTGGTGCTGCAAAAGTGCTGCACACCACAAGGAATTTCTGGAAGGTTTGGAAATTTCAGAGTTGTGACTTTGGTTGTGATTTAGGTTTTGTTTTTAAATGGAAGTACCTTCAGAGTACAGTGCTTACTGTCTCCACTGCTCCTCCATGCTAAAAGGTTCATCCTGGTGCTAAAAGATAATTCTCATCTTGGTGACTAGAAGGTCATCTGCTTTTCAACCAAGTGGCACTAGTGCAAGGATAAATTGCATTGATTTAATCCATCACCTCTTGGCAAAGCGGTCTGTTTGGTCTGAACAGCTAAAAACATTCCACACGACTTCATTTTTTTAATGTAAAAATTTGTTCTACTGTCTCAAGTTACATTCTGTAAATAATAAGCAACACTGATGAAATACAAAAAGCTGAAGATTTGTAAAGCAGAATAAACGGTGGTGTGCCCACATCTGGGTTACATTAAACATGCACTCAACAGATTTGCTGATTCTTTTTTAATAAGCACACAAAGGCAATACAAGACAGAAATGCCCTCACGTCTACTAGTCACAGCAGGGAAGAGTGCTGCTGAATGAAGACACAAAGAGACTGGAAATGGTGTCAAAAGGTTGAGGCGCACACTCCAGTTCCTCACTGTTCAGGCAAAGCTGAACACTGGAGAATCTCATTTCAGATGACTGTATGCACACTAAAAACAGTTAACAGTGTTAATTGGTTGGCTCTTGCTGAACACTTCACAGAATTCTTGCGATTCAGTTGACCAGTTTTAAGCCAGAAATTTTGTAATCAAACAAATCACTCACCCATTGATGTAAGGACATTGTTCAGGTGTTATTGGTGGTAATTATTTACCACTTTAGTTTGAAAAAACCCTAGAAGAGACATCACTTGTTTAACCGAATTACTTATCCTTGTCCCTTGACTCCATGTTCACCCTTGTCAGGTTTATACTGTCAGGTATGTAGATGTGGTTCTTGCTGAGATACAGAAATATACAGGGTTTTTGAGAACTGTTACTCATCTTTGAGTGTTTTTTGTACCTAAAATATTTCCTTGAAGTGTACCTAGATTGCTTTGACAGGAACAAACAAAAAACAAACAGAAAGTATCAAACTTTGTGTATCAACAGATGACAGCCTGTGAAAACAAAACATTGCACTTCTAAAATCATATACAAATTTACATCTTTCTTTTTCTTCAGTATCACACCCAGAATAATTACTCAAAATAAAACAGCTTTAGGAAATTTAGCAAGAAGGAAGAACCCTATGACGGATGCAGTAGTCACTACAACTTTTCATTTAAAATGTGCACCTGTGGAATTTCTGATCTGTCCTCTTGGTAAGAGAGCACCACTGGCAACTACAAATCTGCTCAAAGGCCCAGCGTGAGCACGCGTGCAGATTTCGATCCCTAACTGGAAGAGTGCAAGGGCGCCCCAGATCCTGCACGAACAGCAGCTCCCTGTGCAAGGAGATGCCGTCCTGGCACCTCAATCCAGTACCTAACGGAAGAGGCTCCTCACCGAGACCTCCCCTGCTGTCCTGCCCGCCTGTCACCAAAACCCCAAGGCCCCAAACCCTGCTGTGCACGTCAGCAGCTGCCTGAAGCCCTCCAAAGAGACCTCTCGGGCCACAGGGCTCTCCCCCACGCTCTCCAGTAATCATTTTCTTCAACTTAGACCCAAGTTTCTTGCTGCCAAAACTTCCAGCAACTGTCATCAACGTGTCACATTCATCAAGGTGTTCCAGTTTAACAACCTCACCATTCCAGCCCATTTAGAGCAGTAACTTACTGGTGCTGGTGTAGCTCACATTCTGTCAGTGTTTCCATTGTAAACTTACTTTTTCAGGTTTGCATAAAATTTATTGATAAAAGCCTGCTCTGGGCTATAACTTGGCATACTGACTTTCAGCCTGGGAACAATTTTTATCCCCTTGAAATAATTATAAAACCACCTTAGTTCAAACAAAGGAAAATTGGCAGGTAATATAAGCCTATGAAACAATTCAATTGCGGCTAGTATTTTGAAGAAACAGTATCAAACCTGTTATTTACTTGGCTCTGGAAAAAGCCTGCTTCATAAATACAGGGAGTGCTTTGTCTAAGGAGGCTTTAGGGCTTTTCAGACATTAAGGATTGACTTAGTCTGATAAGTTAAAGGAGGAGTAGCCTTACCTTCACTATAATAAAACATGCAACACCTAAAATACCTGCTACACTCACTCGAGTTCAATACTGAATTGAACCTGCAGCTTTCTGTAAGTACCATCATCCCACGCACGTAATTTCCACAAAAAGCAGAATGAAGACAGTACTTGGCACATAGATGCGTAATGGGAGGACAGAGTGTAAAGCACACTCAGAAGTGCTAGAATCAATTAAATGCTAAACTATACCTTAAAAATGAACCTAGAAGTTCAGCCTTCACAGCAACAAATCCAGACGACGCAGTCATACCGCAGGATCGTAAGGAACAAAGGAAAACATGGTCTGTATTTCCTTTGCACCTTGGCAAAATACTAAAAATCCACTATTCCCACAATTCTTTCCTCAACAATGTACTGATTCTGTACTTGGTTTCAAATATTGAACCCCTGTGATAAGCAGAAATTTACTGAGCACAAGGGGACAGACAGCACGATTTTATGTGCTAGTTCTCTGTGTCCGAGAACATGAAATGACTTGGGTTTACGGCAATCCGGCTCTCACGTTGCGCAGTGAGCCCCCGGCAGATGGGAACGCTGTATTTCAGAGGGTAAGTACAGTTGCCTCCTTCCCAGGGTTGGACTTTGGGGGTGCCGTTCCCAACAGGCAGATAAGTTCTTGAAGGCCTGATGCCTGAAGCCAGAGATCTGGCAGAGCGCTGCGATGGAATTCATTCACCGGTTCAGACACAGATGCTTTTAAGGTGTGTTAAAAATGCACACGCAGTGCAGTCAGTTTGAGTGTTGGATTTGGCATCAGAATGTCTCAGTTAGATGCAAGAATGTGTAAAATCATGAGCCAGACAGCTCCCTGCTGACTGCATATCTGAGGAAGCTTATATGCACCGTTTATTCCAGCAAATGCATGGAATATATTGTGCTTGTTAAATGTGTTCCCAAAATGCTAGTTTCAGACAGAAACATGCAAATAAATGGTGCCTAGGGTTAAAACCTCCCACTTACAGTCAAATCCCTCCTCTTTTGAGGGATCTACCAGCTCAGATGCTGAAGACCTTTATGTGACCCAATATACTTTTAGGAGAACTACAGCATGCTGAAGAAGCAGCTGTTTATCATGTAGGCTGTTCCTGCCAACTTCGTGGAAATGCAGCTCTTCTCCCACCTTGCCCTTCTTTTGAATGCAAGATCAAAACAAAATTGAAAACGATTGATTTGGTTTATGATTGTGTACAGCCTCTTCAGGCTCCAAGTTCAAAGGGAAGTGAGAAGAGCTTAATTAAGACATCAAGAATCACTTCTTCAAAACAAGCAGAGCAGCAGATGCACTTGGCCAACCGGCACACTCTTACAAGGTCCGTGTCACAAATCCAGGATCTGCACGAGGTGCATGAGCCCGCATACTCGTCAGCAGCACAGCACTTACACCAGTCCCACCGTGCATCAACCAGGATTCAGCCTCTGGCACTTGCTCCAGCTCTGACTGTGGCAGCTGTGCAGCCAACAAACACTTTTTCAAGCACTTTGATATCATCAAGCTTAGGAAGTTAACAAAATGTCATGCTGCCATCCCAGTTTCCAGCTTCTCCCAGACTCTTCCTGTACTGATCGCAGAGTGATGACTGGAGTTGTCACCTTAAAGTTTCCTGTCTCACAAATGTGTTGAAAAATGCTCCCATTCACCTTCTGAATCAATGTAAAAGATACGGTTCTTAGCAGGGATTTCTTACAAACACCTACATCTGAAAGACATGAGCTGAACATGCCTTAGTGAAGATTAAAGTGCCCAGGGCCGTATCGTTGCTCTGTCTCAGGGCACAGCGCAAGGTCTTAAAACTCCAGTACAGCTGCTGACGAGCAGGGCACTGCAGTACCTGGGCCATTAGTCCTATTTCTGTGCTCATGTTTATAATGGTCCCATCAGAAATCATCCGTGGTGGCCAAGCCGTGCCCGTTTGTTGTAAGTGCAAACACGGTCACTTGGAGGGTCACGGAAATGTTTCCATATTGACTCCGACCTTCCCGGGAAAGCGAATGAACTTTGGGGAACAAAGCAACCCAGGGGCCCTGCCCAGCACCAGGACAGAACTGCTGGTGCGTGCAAAGAGCTCTGTGATACCAACCAGGACAACTGTGTGTGTTTTCTCTTCAAACCCTCCTGTACTAACTTCAGTTCCTAGGGCTGCGGCAGGCACAGCAGCCTCCTCTAGCACAAACTGCACCTAACAAAAAGCTGCTCAGAAAGTTTGATTTTTAAAGTTTGCAGTTGCAAGAACAATTCAAATCAACTGGCTGTACTTACAAAACTGATGAAGAGCGTTCCACATGTTAACAGCAACATTAGGTGAAAAAATTATCTATAAAAATACCAGCCACATGCTCAATGAGGTGACATCAAGGCAATAAATAGCTCCATCTGTATGAAAGAGTTTGTAGAACAACCCAGAAGACATCTCTGAACAAAAAAGTAACTATGGATAAAGCAGTACTGACAAAAAAAAAGTGGGTTGGAGTTTTTTTTGTTTAAGAAAAAAAAAAAAATCAGTTTTACATAGTTTTCCCCGATCACTTTATAAATCTGCTGCACATTAGAAATCAGACACACATGTATTTTTTCCAAGTAAAGAAAGTTGAAGGTTTACATTTTTAATAGCAATGTGACTATTTCTGAATGGCAGCAGTATATATTACACGCAGTGTGAGAGGGTTAAACAGGACAGCCTCAACTCTTTATAAACTTTTGCCCTCTGGATATGTACTCATTGGCTGCTGTACAAGACTCAGAGCTGTATTACACGCCTTAACGATATGGTTCAACTGTCGGTCAGGCTCGGGGCCTGGCAATAGGCCAGACCGCAATCAATGGGACACAAACCTCCCCCTTTCAGATCATCACGAAGGCTCATATTATCTCCTTTTTGTCGTGCTGGTTAAATTTATGGAGCAGAACCCCGAAGCTGCATTCCTTGGCTTGGGCCGGCCCACGCGGGCCTCCCTTTGTTTGGTACTGTAAGCGAGGCGTGCTTTGGAGGATTGCAGGGTTGTTAGTTCAGGCACTGACTGTTTGCTCATGACTGAAATGAAAAGAGTTCAGTGGAAGGGCAAAAGGACAGCACAAGTGTAAAACCCCATCCCAGCAGGCCCCGGGCTCCCATCTACAGACTCCGGACTGGGACGGACAGAAAACCTCACCGTTAATGACAAAGGAAAAAATCTGTCTAGTAACAGGTAAACAGCCTGGCCGTGCATTAGCACATACCTTGCTGCAAGGTCCCTTGCTTTCAAGTATGCCTGTAATTACTACA